TTACTTAAGCCAACTGTGGTTTGGAAAAGAAATTCTGAGCTTCTCAACGCCATCAGAATAACTCCAAAGGCCGCCACGAATTAAAGAGATACTAAACGCGGCTCCCACAGAGAGTGAATGACCCGTAGGAAGATCTCCAGATCGATGTCATAACGAGCTGAAGTGGTTCTATGGATCAATATCGATACAGATCGCAAAGAAAATAGGTCTAACAAAATCTTGGAGGCGTTCGTCCAGCAGTGGATCGAAAAAAACCGATGATGATTATCGAAGTCTAAAGTCCCAGCTGATTCGTTTTCAGTGTTAAATAACGCATATATAACGCAGCACATACACAAGACGCATACAATGCAAAACTCTTGCAAAATCCTATCCTATTTCAAGGCGCAAGACACCGCAACTTGTTCCTAGTTGCCTAGATAGGGTAGAAAGATATTTAAAGAAAAAAAAATGTCACCGTTGGTATGTCGATCTTCCTTCATTTTAATGACTGGGTCAGTTTGTCGCTGCGGATCTCCGTTACGACGGCATCAGTAAAGAATGCCCTATATTTTTCAAAGCAGAGTCTAGACGCAACCATAGCGAGTAGTTTCCTGTTTATTTACCACAGAGGGATAATCATTCATGAACCTCGAAAGTAAGAGTGACCACCACTGGGGCTTCAACGGGGGACTGTTCGGTTGTGAATTAGATGCTCTGCCGGGCAACCCCGGTCTGAAGCAATGTATGATAAAGTCCTTGCTCGAGGGAATTCGTCGATAAGATAGATTGCCCAAAGAAACAGGGGAAATGAACCAGACACTTCCGGAGTTTGACGCAGATCTTTTAGACACTGTCCCACGGGTGGTTGTGGGACTTTAAACAGGACACGGCTACACTGTTAGAAGGCATCTGCAGCGGCAGGTGAATCTCGCACCATTTGTTCTTGAGAGCCACCTCGCGCTCATTACGAATTATGTTTCAGAAGCTGGTACTGCATAAACATCATTATTGTTCGTATGCCCGGCAATATCAAATAACAAATGACTCCTCAAGACTAGATGTCAACTTAATTTAGAAATGCTCCATAGTTACGAATACAAGTGACTTAGCCTCCATATCATCTTTTATAAAGAAAATCCCGCACAGCATTTGAAGTCCTAGATTTAATCTGAATTTATTCAAGAACAATTTATGAAACACGGTCTACTTTCCTGCAATAACCGCTTAATTGATAGAACAGAAAAACTAGAAACAAAAACGATAGGAAAGGTAGCTGCCTGCAACATCGCTACGCAACAATTCTATAAAAGCTTTGAAATCGCACTAAGCAACATTAACAGACATAACCGATGTAAATAATAGGAGAAATGGCTCAAAACCTACACAAAATAGGTTCCTTAAAGTAAGGGTGCTATTTCTGCATAAAAGTGTACCACTATTCATGCATGAAACGACTTTTCTACATAATATTATACATTTCAACTGTACGAACACCTCCGAATCTTTCTATTAAGAAATAAACAATTGTTTACTTTTAAATGTTACCAAAAACTACGTTGATCATCGCCTCAATTATAATAGGCCAGCTAGAATCATCAGATGGTTCTTAGTGCGAGCAGAAGACCTGTTTCTAGATCTTACTTTTATTTTGCTGCATTGACGTTTCGACAAACCAAATCTTTAGTTCACTCACTGCTTCTTCCGATGGCAGGCGGTATCATTTGGGTGATCTAAACATCGGTCTCCTGCTTCTGGTCGCAACCATCAAATCACCGTGTAATGAAACTTAATATTCTATCAATTCACTCACATTAGGCCACAACCTTAAATCCCATCACACAACGGTTTGCCTTACAGCGTTCTTCCAATATCGATAACCAAATCTTCTGCCGTTCTATGTATGAAAATGGCCACAAAGATTCTGGATAACCCGACCCACCACTGCCCGATGCCATACGCGAAATGCGTCTATCACCAGATGATCCTGTCTCATCGTATCTTCTCAAACCGAACTGTTTAGTACCACTGCAGCAGCTTCAGAGCGAACTCTCAGAAACCCAGAAGTTACCTGTTCGTCAACACTACATGGACCTACTCAGTCACGTAACTATCCGTTGAATGCTTTTTATTTATTTCGTTTTGAAAAACTTTAAAATTGCGGTTTGCCGTGATCCCTCCTCCCACCTCAAGTAGTAAACCTTCATCTTTCACCAAACACGACCTGCAGTTCGGTCTTCTTCAACGAGAATTCAACTTT